TGGAGGGAGTGGTGTCACACTCCCTCATAAAACCGCAGTGCCACGTAGGCGTCATCTCACCATTTACCTCAAAAGTATGATTCATACCACACCCAATGAGTGATGACACACTTGGGGGGGGGGGGGGTTAATTAATAAAAACTTTATTCTTTTTAAAAAAGATGATATTTCATTAATTAAAAGTAAAATTACCATTACATTACATAACTTTAAAAAAAGTAGAAAACCAAACTACTTAAAAAAGACACATCAAACGTTTAAAAACTTGAAAAAAAAAGAAGATTAAAAATGATTGGTGTAACGTTTTTTGACGTCCTCCTTTGTCATCAACACAACTTGAAGCTCATCACCGGTCAATTCCGATATGTTTTAGTGAGTGTTTTTTGGTTGGTAGGCTTTTGGGAGGATGATATTTTGAAAGGTTTTTGAAAGAAAAAGATGGTAAAATATGAAGTTTTGTGAACACGAATATCGAAATTGTCGATCTGAATCGGTACCAAACCGACACTATTTATGTTAATATGGGATGGTACTCGGTACTCTAAAATCATAAAAGTTGGGATTCAGTATCATCGGTACCGATGCTAGTACCGAATATCGGTACCATTCCGGTACCGATACTGGTAATGTTAGTTCGGTTTGGTGCTCGGTACCGACCTTCCACCCAATTCGGTATTTGGGAATCACGGGTCGGTATTGGTTCTTTCCTATGCTCATCCATATTTATAAGGGAATTTTTTTCATTGTCAAGTAATTTCATTCCATTGATACGTCGATTAAACTGTACTAAATAACACATGTACTAAATAACGTGAATTAATGGATCATTTCATTTATAAAGGCGCATTTACTCGAAGAGCAAATGTTTTTGTTTGTTGCTTTTCTTTTTATGCTTTTAGAGGTCATCTTTGGAAATGGAAACAGCTTAAGCTACCCACAACCTTATCTCCCCTTACCCCATTTTTATAGGACACAGGGTTCTGTTAGTGTTATTGTTGTAATGGCCCATTTCATTCCATTACGACTGTTATTGTTACTATTGTTGTAACACCCTGTTTCGAGTCGTTTCTTAATTTCGGGCCATGACCCAAGGATCAAGTATCATAAGGTTTCGGGCCTTAGGAAAGAAAGGTTTAAACCCATTTGGTGATGGGTAATGTAGTGTAACACCTTGTTTCGGTTCGTTTCATAATTTGGGGTCGTGACCCGATGATTAAGTATCATAAGGATTCGGGCCTTGGGAAAGAGAGGGTTAGACCCATTTGGTGATGGATAATATAGGTTGTGGGTACCGAGTGTTTGGTTTATGTTTTAGAGCCCAAATGCATATCGGTGAAGTGATGGTGCGAACCTTTTATGAATTTTGGATTTAAGTTCGGAAAGTTTTAAGGTAAAGGAGAGTTGATAAGATTGTAGAGCTTCTCATTACTTTTCCGTGGATGTAAGGATCGTCGAAATCGGACTCAGAACGAAGAATTTATGGCCTTAGAAAATTTGGAGGTTTTAAGGATAAGTGTAGAACGTTGGGTGTACAGGGAGTACATCGGGTGTACTAGGTTGGGTGATCGCATGTGCAGCATGGAGTACACCGAGCATACCAGGAGTATGCATGACGTACTCCATTCAGGTGCAAATCCTAATTTAGGGTCTTGGACCCTATTTAAAGGCCTTAACTTATGTTCAAACCCTATTATCTTCAGCCTCCATCAACCTTGACCCTAAATAGGAAACCCTAGCTTGTTCTTGAGTTTTCTTGAGCTTTGGTGGTTAACCTCTAGTGTTTTTGCTCACCTTGAAGAAGAAGGAGCTTGGTGTTCAAGCATTGGTTGGTATAGAGCTCATAGATCCAGAGTCTTCATCCATTTTGCTAGCATCAGAAGGTATAAAGTTTCTATCTTGGTAACTCTATGAGTTAGATCTAGTATAGGGTTTGGGCATAGTATGGTCCCTTGAGTCATCCTTGTGAGTATGGGCTACTCCAAGAGCTTAGGATGTTGGATCTTAGCATTTCTAAAGTTGTTAGTGCATAAAAATGTCATTTTGATGAGTTTGGATGAACCATGTGAGAGTTGGTGTTCATGTTATGGACTTAGTTGGATAAAAATGGGTTTCGGGTCCCATTAAGACATACAAAGGAGTAAAGTCGCCAACTTTACGTGTTAAGACGTTAAATTGAAGTTAGATATGAGTTTGGACGTTTGGTCTTAAGCATTAAGTGCTTAATGTGAGGTTTTGGTCACCTGATGAGTACGATGGGCGTACGTAAGAGTACTCTCAGCGTAATGCATGAAATCCCCATTTTCCTACTTTGACGAGTTGTACCTCGTGCATCAAAGGGATGTACGTCGGGCGTACAAGTCTGGTACGCAGGGCATACTCTGCTGGGCCTTTCTTAATTTTTGGCCACCTTTTGGGGCTTAGGGTTTTGGGCTGGTGTTAGGCCACAAGTATTGTTGAGAAGAGACATTATTAGGCTTTGGGCCTTTATGGAATTGGGTATGTATTGGGCCCTAAGGTTCATTTGGATTTGGGCCATTATTGGGCTTTATGTGCCATTGATTTTGGGCTTCAATTAAGTGGACCAACTGAAGGGAAGGGTAAAATAGTCTTTTACCATAGGAGCCGGGATTAGTGAATTAAGTCCCGATTATGCTTTATGACCCAAATTATTAATTGGGGTTTTATCTGATTGGTTAGTGCGAGGATTCTCTGGTTCAGTGGCCCGAGCATCAGCTGGATTGACAGCGGACTGAGGTGAGTTTTGCTTACTATACTGTAGGACACTAGGATATGTTATGTGCTTGTAGTCTTTTGTGACTCCTGATGTATGTGTTATATGCATGTGTGCCTGTTTGCTATATGTATGTGGCGTGAAATAGACTCGGTACAGCCTTGTGCTGACATATGAATTGAAATAGACTTGGGGGTGAAATAGATCCGATACAACCTTGTGTTGACATATGAGTTGAAATAGACCCGACACAGCCTTGAGTTGGCAAATATGTATGGTATGCGGTATTTTGGGGAACTCACTAAGCTTCGTGCTTACGGTTTATGTTTTAAATGTTTTTCAGGTACTCCCGGTTCGCGAGGGAAGGGTCCGGCTTGATGACAGCGCATCCACCCATGTTTCCGCACTTTATGAATTTGGGAATTGTACTCTGATAGCAAATTTACTCGAATATACTTTTGAATGATTAAAATGCTTAAATGGTGTTTATGGGTGAATTAAAAATGAAATTTTTACTTTATAATTTTCGGGACGTTACAGTTATAATGGCTCATTTCATTCCATTACAACTGAGTAATAAAAACATTACAAAAGAATTATAAATGATTTGTTTCATATCTCCATGCATTATGATCCAAACAAACACATCTTATGAATTTTTCTACTTTATTAAATTTCACATAATATTTTAATATAACACTTGCAATAAATATAGTAATAAATGGATATCAATTTCATTTATTAACTTACCTTTTAATTTCAAAATTATTAAAATTAAAGCTTATTAGTTTCTTTTATTTATTTAAATTAGTATTTTTTTTAAATTTAAAAGATAAAAAACATTTCTATTATAATAATTCAATATTTTTTTATTTTCTTATAAATTCAAAGTTCTCAAATATTTTAACCTTTATATTTAACTTTTTTTTTTTAAAAAAATCATATAATACATGAGTCTCACAACTAGTATAAAATATATTTAAACATAAAAAATATCTTTAAATATTATAAACACATAAAAATGTATTTATATGATTTTATACCTTTAAAAACATTTTTTTCAATTAAACCTATTTATATGTATTTTTTCATAATATTTGTTATTATCAATATTATTAATAAAATATACATAATTACATATGAAGGTTAAAAATAGGTAAATTGAATAAATTATTCATTTTTTGGATTTTTTCTATTCAAAAGTTTTGTTTTGGAACTTTTTCCTTAATTTTTCTAAATATTACGGCTTTTCCAAAAATAGGTCTAAACTGCATTTTTTTTCTTTTTTACCCAAATCCACCTTTTTTTTCTTTGCCATTCACAGCAACAGTTTAATGGCTTTGTTTAAAGGGTCAGTTTAATTTAATTTTTTTTTTAATTTTTATTATACTAGTTAATAAAACGGACCCCTGTTACCAAACGTTTTCATTAGCTTTTGCCATTTACCATTGTAATACATAATTTAAAATGAATAATAAAAAAAAAAAAACATTATATAAACAATTGCGTAAGGGACGAATGTTCCTGAAAATAAACTTCTTTGCAATTGCGTCTGTCATTTTTCCCCTTCCAAACGTGTACACTTTTGTTCAGTTTAGTTTTCCTTTTCCTTAAACAGATATTTTCTAAAATGGCAAATCAAAATTCAAACAAAATCATACCAAATGTTGAACTTTGGTTAAAGATGGTTTTTTAGAAAAAAAAAATTCAATTATTAAATCCTACAAAAAAACTCTTTGAGTGGTTTTTTACATTATCTAATATTTTATATAGCGGCTTTTATAAAAAAATAAAACAAACTATCCGTATGTAAACTGGAAAAATATTGCTTTGGTAGTTTAAAAAAAAAAAAAAGAAAAAAAAAAAAACCAAAGTAAATTTTCCCAACAAAAGTAGTGTAATTTTTAGTAGTGGGATACTTTTGCACCCATTTCAATCATCTTTGTAAATCAAACCAGAATTCCCAAATCACATGTAATCCCAGATTTAAAATTCACGTGTTCATTTTCTCTAAATATATAGATCCAAAATACCAACATAAAATGGAACCCTTTTTTAATAAAAATTCATACATCCAACAAAACCAGAAACACATCCCACAAACAAACAAACTACCTATCAATCATCTTCTCCTTTCGTATGCAGTACTTAACTAAGTTCATGTTATCAAACTACAATACCCAAAAAAAAAAAAAAAAAACTCAACTCAATTATTCGTATTTCTGACAAGTACAAACACAAATATCAACCCGTATGATCTAACCACCTTTTAATCAAGCTTCACCGATGAGAACAAGTAATGCACGAACCAAAAGGACGAAAGGAACCCAACGGTTCCAGTGGCTAACATCACGGCTAGAACCATCAACAACGAGTACCCCAAGTAAAGTGTAGCCGATACGGGCCCACTCAAACTCTTCAAATCAAAAATCAAATAGTTAATCGAATACAAGAAGATATATAACGCCACCGAACCCGAAGCAAAGAAAGACTTCCACCACCACTTCCAATCCTCAACACAAAGATGCATGTATGTCAACACCAACGACACCTCCGCACACACCACCACTAAAAGAATCAACACCACAAACAAAAACCCAAACACGTAGTACACGCGCCCCATCCAAATACTCGACATGATGAAAAAAAGTTCAATGAAAAGGGTACCAAAGGGTAGAGTTCCCGCACCAAGGACAAGTAGCCACGAAGGGTATTTTTGGGATGGAATTTCACGCGGGATTTGGTTTGTACGGACAGGGTACTCAATGTGATTCGCTTTTGCGCCGAAGTAACCGCCAACGAAAGTTAAAGGAACGGAAATGCAAAACCATAAAAGGATTAGGATTACGAACAACGAGAATGGAATCGCGCCGGTGGAATGTGAACCCCATAGAAGGAAATTTAGCACGAAAAGAATGGAAAACGCGATTCCGGGGAAAAAACACGCGACTTTCCATGACACGGATACCCATCCTTTGTGATCGCCGGAGAAAATCGTCCGCCACATACGGACCGCGACGTATCCGGCGAGAATCCCAAGTATCATGTAGAAAATCAACATTCCGGTGACTAAAGTACCGCGGCTCGCCGGGGACATGAATCCCAAAGCGGCAAACATGATGGTGACGACCGCCATTCCAAGGATTTGAACACCGTCTCCGACCATTACGCAGAGGAGCGCGGGATTGTCCGGGGCGCGAAACACGTCAGCTACGACGAGCTTCCATCCGGATAATTCCTCGTTCATCTGCGCTTGCGCTTCTTTATCGAGTTCTTCATAATGCGTTAAATCGCGTCGAACGGTTCTCAAAAAGATTACCAAAACAATTCCGGCTAGAAACGTAATCACCATGAGGGAATTCAAGATTGAAAACCAATGGACTTTTGCTCCTTCCATTTTCAAATACGCGTCCCATCTTGATGGCCATTTGATGTCACTTTCCACGAATGTGACATCGTATGTAAATGCTATCGGCTCGTTTTCCTTTATAGCCATGTTGACTGTGTTTTCTTCACAAGAAATTGTGGAGGGGTAGTTATTGTAAGTTTTTAAGTTCTTTAGGGATTCGGGGTTGTGTTTGACACTACAAGGAGTTACTTCGAATCCGACAACCATGTACCCTGGAATGTCGGATTCCGGTTTCCCGACCGGAATCGCTTCAGCGGCATCCCCGGTTCCCATGACACTCGCAACATTTGTTTCTTCGTATTTATGAACCAAAACTGTGAACTTTAAGTGATTAAACACGTAATATGCGTCTTGAACTTTGATTCCAATTGGGTACCCTGTCCATCTTAGGTAGTAAGTGTCTCTTTTGGTGTAACGAATGGCTGGTAGGTTATCAAGGATTAGATTGACTTGGTAAATCTCATCGATCCGGTTTGTTAAGAGCTTGTATTCTTCACTGGATAATGGTTTCGTTTGGCAAAGAAAGATTTGGGTTTCGTTTGTGTACATTTTGAACTTATATGGTGAGTTTTCAATCCGATCACCCATTAGAAGTTCACCGAGGTTTTCAGCACTGTCTTTTACGCCTTCTGGGGGTTTGCAGAAGGGTAAGCTGTAGTAACTGTAAGGGATTTCTGTATCGATTGAAGTCAAAGAGTTGACTTTTACGGATAATGGATCGCCTATGACGTATTTGTGAGGGTAACTACCAGGGAGGTAAAATCCATGGGCGAATTGAGATATCAAACAGATCAACAAACCCCAGATCTTGAATTTATCGAAAAAATCCATAATCGTGTAATCACCGTGTCAGATCTGGAAAACCCTAGTTTGCAATAGGCAAAAACAGTAAAAATTCAATGTTGGTTTAAATCCGTGAAGATGAATTGAGATCATATAAGGGAGAATTGTATGTTTTTTTGTTTAGATCGAAAGAGTTTGAATGTGATTGGTAACTAGAATGTAATCGAGAAATCGAAACAATGAATTGAAAGGGAAATCAATTGAACTGTAAGAACAGAAAAAAGGGATAGATTGCATCGAGATTGAACTGACCTGTACTTTAGGGCTCGGAAAATTAGGGAAGAGGGTCCGTCTTGCAGCACTTCGAGATTTTCCCAGAGATGTCTAGAGAAACAAAAGCTATCTATGGATATAAATATCGTCGGTGATACTTCATGACTACATCGATAGTCCGAATGACCATTTTAACCCTTTTAGTAAAAAGCTTTTGTCATCAATTTCTTTAAATTAAATTACAGTTTTGGTCCCTTTGGTTTGGTCTAATGTTTTAGTCACTAATTGAAAAAATTGATAGATTACTCCATGTGATTTTAACAAATTACAGGCATCATCCCTTGATATATAAACTTAAAAAATTCCCACAGCACCACCCCACTTCCCACCCCATCCCACTCATCTCAACCTCATCATCTTCATATGCATCTTTCACCACCACTATCGCCCCTCTTTCATCCCTGATAACCACCTTCACCATTTTTTATTGTTATCTCTAAACGCACTTCATTCCTCTTCATATCCATATGTCACCCTCTTTCTGTGTGTGCAATTTGAAAAAAGAACATAACTAATTAGGCTTTACAATTATATTTTTTTTCAATGTGTTTTTGAGATCAAGAAGTTACCGTATAAATTAGAATGTAAGATCGGACTATGGGACTTGCGAGTGAAGATAGTGATTAATCTTCATGTTCAACTGAATGACCAATATCATCGACCATAATTGCCTGTGATCACCACTTCCATCACCTTCACTTTCATTTTCTATGGCTACCATTACCGACTACTCCATCCCACACTCGTGCAAGAACCCATGTAATCTTTTTTGCAAGCGGTTGTTTACTTTGAAAGATACCTTTTTCTCCATCTCCGGTGAACCTCGCTCCCCACATCCTTCATTCTCATGCTCTTCGATCTTTTGACAACAAAATAAATAAATAAGTTTGTGAATAAAGAATAATTAAGTGTTGGTCTAAGGGGCTGTTTGGCAGGATCTGAATTTTTAAGATGTCTGAATTTCTAAGAGCGTCTGAATTTTTAAGATCTGAATTTTTTACATACTGTTTGGTTGGAACCTCTGAATTGTTGTCCTGAATTATAAAATGACAATTTTACCCTTCTTTTTTTATTATTATTTTTTTAAATTCAATACTTTTGTACAAAATTATCAAAATAATTGAGTCAAAAACTTCCAAAATAATTATAAAAAATAATAATATAAACAATCTATACAAATCTAAACAATCATCAAAACAAATCTAAACAATCATCAACTATCCTTCAACTTCTTGAAAACACTCAAAACCTGCCATTTACCATCAAAACATAATAAATGATCTTTCCTTGAAAGTAGGATGCTAGAAATGAACATCAAATCCTTGAAATCCATAATGATCTTTTAGCATGTATGTACTTGCAAGTGTTCCATATTTAGCTGCTCAATCTCATATTCCCAAGCCACAATATAATCAATCATGAGTTTAAATTTATAAATTCACCACAAACAAAAGAGGAAAAAGAAGCAAACTCATTATCTCAACCAATCTTGCATAAAATAGCACCAAAAAGAAAAATTCCCAGAGCAGATGTTCATAAAATAACAGAAAAAAGAACATTTCTCACACCTTTTAAAATGGTCAAACCCAAGCTCCTAATTGCTTCATATTCAGAGCAGATGTTCATCAATTCTGTCGACAGCTTTGAGTGCAAAGCATCTGATGGAATTTATGATGGAATTAACAACATTATGTTATTAATGTTATTTATATAATCAATTCAATCAAAGAGAGCACCAAAAAAATCAGAAACTTTGAATCCAAAATCAAAATCATGATGTTATTCACATAATCAATAACGAAAGATATCAGAATTTGATTCAAAACATCTGATTTATAGAGAATCGAACGTCAAACCTGGAAATCGATTGCAAATGCCAAACCTAGAAATTGATTTCTCTAGGGCAGTGGTTGTTGGGAAGACGGAAGCGAAGACAACTATGGTGGAAGATGCATCTACTATGGGAGGAGGTTATGGGTCTAGCTTCGCCAACGAAGGAAGTAAGAAACAGAGTTCTTAAATCGATTCCATAAAATCGATTTTAGGATAAACCTTACCTGATGATGTTGTCTTCGAGTTTTGACATAGCTGGATGCAAAGGGGATGGCGGCGGTGACCGGGCCGGAGGGCAGGTGGTGGAGGCGGTGACCGGTGGGTTGCAGGTCGTCGGAGATGGCTTGGGGGAAGTCGTATCGTGAAATAGAAAGGAGGAGGAACATGCCTGGGGTAAAATAGGAAAGTGCCTTTCATTTTTCTTTTCAGATACAATCTTATATCTGAAAAATTCAGAGGCATTTTAAGATTAAGATGCAAAAAAATAAGATCCAATCAAACACTCTAAATCTAAACTTTTAAGAGGTTGCCTCTTAATTTTTCAATTAAGAGGCTACCAAACAGCCCCTAACTACATAATAGTTCAACCCCCAATTCCAAACCCCAGAAGCCTATATCATCATTACTACCATGAACCCTTCGTCGAAATCGATTTCCCCATCTAAATAAGTCGATTTATCCACCTGGGTAAAATCCTCTATAAAAATTATCACAATTACAAAATCATCACAATTGCCATCTTGTTTTCAAAAACTCAAAAACTCCCTCCCTCCCCCCTCCCTCCCAAAAAAATGGAATCTCAAAGGTATCATCTTCTTATCCATGTTTTTGTTTTTGTACACTTATGCTTATTGATGATGGTTGAGAGAGTTCAGATCACTAAAAACCATAAGAAGTAGTGAATTATACAATTGAAAAGACTTCTTGAAGGGAAAACTATTTCAAGTTTTCTTGACAGTAAAACTGTTTCAAGACTTCGAGTTTGGCATTAGGAATTGATTCCTACAAGTTCCTATCTCTAGACTTATAACATAATAGAAAGAGAAAAGGAGAATTACGTGAAATTCTTATTCATGATCAGAGATGGAGGTGGTTGCTGAAGAAAGAGAGACGAGATAAAGAACAATATGACGATGGGTGTTGAGGAAGGGTGGGGCCGTGCGGGTGGATAAGTAGGTATTTTCTTATTTTTTTGATATTACAAATTATAAATTGATAATAGAAAAAGAAAAAGATATTAAAAAAGGGAAGAATAATCTTTTCATATGAACAAAGGGACGGACGTTGAAATTTTTTTAAACCACAAGGATGTGATTTGTCAACTTTTCAAAGGTTGGACCAAACATGTGATTATGACCAAACATGGACCATTTATGTTATAGAGATATAACATGGAAAAAACTGTAAATTTGATCCTTGTGGTTTGTAAAAAAAATGTAACTTTGGTTCAAAATGTTTTGGAGTTTCACCGTTGGTGCAAAATGTTTTATTTGTTGTGACTTTGGTCCAAAGTCTTAACAATCGTTTATGCTCCCCCGTTGAAGTGAGCGTGTGCTGCCAAATTATAATTAATACCCCTCGTTAACGAAATATATACCGTTAAATTTTAATTAATAGACACAAATTCTTTTTCTGTTCACTTTTTTCTTTCATTACGCATATCAAAAACCCTAATCACAATTTTCAATCAATGTGGTTTGATTTAGAGAAACGCTTAATCTATGAACATACTAATGTGGAACTCAAAGGCTCTTAAACAAACTGTTCAATGAAAAGGTGGCATGTGGTACATATTTTCCTATTTTCTTTGTACATTACAAAGTTTTTGTGAAATCATATTTCTGAAAGTGTTTTTGTTCTTGATTTGAAGATGGTCAACATCGTTTACCATCAAGTTATACCATAGGGTGAGTTCACCAAGTATCTTGATGTTCGGTACATTGAGGGAAGAGTGAACTATGTTGACATGGTGGATATAGAGGAGTTTTCAGTTCATGAATTGGATGCCATCATGAGAGGGTTAAGATATGGTGTTCCTCCAGTAATTTTTTATCACTTCCTTATTCCTGGTGGAGGCTTTCACTTTGGGCACTTTCCATACATAGATTTTGGATACTCTGGGAGCATGCACTCTTACTTTTCGAGAGTTTCGTGCATGTGGGGCTCCTGAGTTCTTTGGGAAGAAGGAACCCATTGTTAGCAGGCGGTGGATTACGGATACGAAGAATGCCTTTCGGATGA